CTCGCTTGTTCTGCAGACAATCAGCGCAGCATATCAGAGCGTGGGAAGTTCGACGCTGTCCATCTGGTTATGTATTACATACCACAAAGCCAATGTTTCCGCATATAGCGTGAGTGACCAACCATTTTTTTAACCAGAATGAAGTATCTAACGGAGGGTGGATGAACAACCTAGATTAATACTCTCTTCTGTGTGGACTACCATAGACCATTAAGAAGGTATTTGAGCCACCTGGCTGTCGACTGTGTTCGCAATCAGCAACGAGTCGGATGCTTCAGAAAACGGTTCATGGTCCCTTTACTGCTATACTCGTACTGTTCCCGTGCCATAGGTAGTTTGTTGACACTCAAAACTTGTTATCGGCTCTCGACGGTTCGTGACATATGCTAATCGCCTCACAGCTTAGCTGGTAACGGCTTTAAGAACTAAGGCGTTGGCTCGGGTTACAGAGTAGTTAATCGCTTCTCCTACCCGGGTAACTGAAAAGTTCCATGTGCAGACAACACACTTGCACATGAATTTACGTAATCCTCAGATCCTTTGCAGAATACATGCACGCCAAAGTTATCGGGAGACATAAGTGAAGAAGCCGCGGACTAGGCTGGTGTACAAGTTGTGTTTACTGCGCGCGCAGAAGCAGCACTACTTGTTTGGATTCTAATTGACGACTATTCCTGTGCAATTTAAGTAAAAGCCTCCATACGATTGTGCAGCCGCGAGGTAACCAAACACTTTTTGTTTGACGCAACAGTGCATGTTCCCACGAGTTACAGCCCGGACTCAGCTAAAGATGAGTTCTACCGTCAACTATCCTACCTACTCCATAAGAATCATTGCAAGTATATGGTGGTTCTCATCGGAGATCTCAGCACACCGGTTGGTAGGCTGGAAGCTTTGGAACAAGATGTCGGTAGTCTGGGTTGCTATGATATTCGCATGACGGCTTAAGAAAGCAAAAGAAAAGCATCAGCAGTATATCATTACGCAGTACGGACACCATGCTGCCATACAAACACCATCGGTTGCACGTGGATTAAGGATGCTTCGAGAGTCGCCCGATCCCGACCCAGGCTCCAACCAGCGTTGTCAGATTACGAGACAAGGTGGTTACCTTTAGGCTACGGCATTGAGGAGGTCGAGCGCCACAGATCTCTGCTGCTCACGGTCGTGGATACAGACTGACCACATGGTGATCGATTACCATTGCCGAGGTTGTTGATGGGACAACAGATCAAGTTGAAGTACTTAACTCACTTCTGATCACGCGCTTGTATGTACTAGAATCGTTAGAGTTTCCGGCCCTCCCCCCACTCAGAAGGGAGTATAAACAGGTCAGTTGCAGATGCCTTGTCCGCTGTGCGGTCACATTTTAATCTAACTACAGAATCCACCTTTTCTGGTGGAATTATTGGTGTGATACGCTTCACTTGCACAAGTAGAAATGAGTTACAGCCGAACCGCGACTTCTTAACGTGCTTTCGGTTATTGGTAAAACGACGGAAAGACCGGCCTGCTAGTTATGAAATGAGCAGACGCAACTGAAGAGTAATGCGCGTCGCCTAACCGCATTCATCATACTTGCCCCACTGGATTCACCTAGCATCATTATCCTATGGTGTGTTCCGATGCTGGTGACAATCTTAACTGAAATCTGGACTCCCTGCAGTGTCCTTTCAAACACTAGGTTTGTGTGGTGGGGTCGTTATCAACCACATTCGATCTGGAGGTTGAGTTACATCGTGCGCTACCATCTACCTTACAGGTTTGGTTAATACCACTGATGAAACCGAGATTACGAGTCTAACCGGTGTGCTGCAAGAGGGAACGAAATATCATCAGTTGGATTCCTGCGTTCCTTGCCCCTGGAGGCCAGGGTGATATACAACCCCTCACGGATTAACACTTGGCTCCACAGCCTATGTGGTTCGTACACTTCACAGACCGTAGCCATTATGTATCACAAGTCACCGTAGGGGAACAGCTATGTTTCATGACCACAAGGAAAAATCACCTGCACACTAGGGTCTTGAAGCGATGACGAATAGGCAACGCCGACAGGCAGATGAGTGACCGCAAACAGCTGACCAGCTTTGGGTCAATGAGACAGCCAGTTTCGCGAGATGGGATAGGGGCAAACGGTTGACCCAAATACACAGGCTATTTTCGAGGGGGGGGGTTGGAACATGAGAGGTGGAGAAATAAATTGTCAGCAATACTGTGAACGTGCAGTTTACCGAAAAGCGATGGCACGAATAGGACCGTATGCTCACCATTCCAAGGAAGTGAAGCGCAGAATAATGAAAACGTATGAGGAGGGAGCGGATTGCAACTCACTATTGCTGCACCGCGTGACGACTACACGTGCCGCTTAAGCATCCGATCGGTAAACGCCACTCCTCCCAGACAGGCCAGTTGCTCACTCGCGTGGATGCCTCACCGTGTTCGCAACCAAATCTCGCATTCCACCCACTCCAGTAAATGACCATGTGAAGCAGTGTGACTGTCTAAACATCCCATTGTCGCACGCACACACCCACATATCAGTGAGCGATCTCAAATGAGACACGGCAAGCGGACATTTGGACTACCAGTTCATCACGTATACCAACGCTTTACTTCCATACCGCAGCCACAGTGACCACGCGCTGAGGACAGACGACAACTCGTGGATGCGCACTTGTTCGTGCACTCCTCACTCGTTCCTCCTTCCATCACCCAGGTCGATACTTCCAACGGGGCAACACGATTCTACTTGTGGCACACAGCACACAGAGTGCACAAGCCGAAAAAGCATCGGCGGCAGCCACTGCCAACTGCTCAATCCGGTTCCCCGGAATACTCCGCCGTATCTGGGACCAAGGCTGGCTGTTGGCTGGATGGATGGCTGGCTGGTTGATCGCGAGTGTTCACGTTTGTCCCTCATTCACCTCTTCTGTCCGCTGAGGATGGCTACCACATCTATAGTTATGTGGTTCAGCAACCCACCTGATCGCTACCCATTCCGCAAGCATGCCAACACTCTTCTGGTCTCCTCATTGTCTAAAATATGGTGCCGCGAACCGATGAGTAAGCAACGCAAATCACTATTCGCGCGATCAGTTGCACGCACTCAAACTTTCCGCATGCTGCCGCCACTACATATAACACTGAAGTACGTGGGTGACGCTCCCATCCCCATCCAGACGTTTCGTACATCCTGAGTGCATCCACATGTGGTACGTATGCATTGCGTGATCGTAAGTGACGCTGGTGCCTGGCCACACACGACAATCCGATCGCTTGCCTTCCTCAACTCCTAAGCTCTACGGTCAACCGATAGGGCACTGCGCACTCAGACGACGCAAACACCGGAGACTCACTATGGACGTAACTATAAAGCAGATAATGCAAAATCTACTTTTCAGCCTCAAAGATACGCTTGAAAATCCCCGCCTCATGGTACTTGAAGCAAGAATTGCGATTTCTACCGAGATCGGAACAAGTTCGATTCAGAGTTTCTTCACTCGCAGACGAAAGAACATGCCACTTGCAAGTGAGGTTCTGTTGCCACTCGAGCTAACTGTGACTGTCATTCCGCTAGACTGCAATCTCGATTGCAGTGGACGAAGATATGGTAACTGCAACACAAGAACTGGGAAAAATACAACCAGGGAGGATGTAGTGGTACCTGTCAACTGAGCAGTAATGACCTCGCGTAGACATTTCGCATACTCGCGTCGACAGATCCAATTCGAGGACAACAACTGGAGGATTGTGTTGTGTCGCCGCTGAGGCCTTCACCCCACGACCGCAAGAAGAAGTCCAAGACGAGCCAGAAGGAGACTTGTATACATGAAATCACAGTTGCTTATATAGTTTGAAGGAAAAATGAAGGGAAGCTACTAAAGTACACTTGAGCCAACCAACTGAAGGAAAAACGTCAAATGCAACAGCGAAAGCAACCGTGTACTCAAGAGCGAATCGCGTACGTCCTTAAAAATGGCATCATTGGACTCCAGGCTTAAAGCGAACGACCATTTACAGTGACGGGCACTGGCCAATCAGAATGACGAAATGAAACGTTTAGACAAAAGTCACGAAACAACCGAGAATAAGGAATGCAGACCCAAAAGTTGAAAACTAGTACAATAATTGTATGACAACTAAATATTCCTTTAACATAACCAAGTAGAACAGTGATGAGAAGAAAAAACCAATAGAGTATGTTCTTGCAAATAGCGCTGCTGAGAAGGATATGACAATGAGCGTCCATTAACAATGACGTGGATGTACCACTCGGGCGAACCCAGTAGAGCGTTTAACCAAAAATCAAGAGATAAAAATTAGGAAGAGTAAAGAACAGCTATCAAGCTCGTTCACAATAAATGAATGTCTAATAGCTGTTCTCCTAATACCTCCCTCTCTTTATAAAAAACGGGTTACCTGGGGTTCACATAGCTCTTTCGACTCGGATCCACTTGGAGAGGCTGCACGAATCTTCTTGTTCTCTTTGGCCTGTGGAGAGCTCCATTTTCCATGCATTCCACTGGATGAACGTAACTACCTGCAGGAGTACTAGGCTAGCCAGTGTCCAGCAATTCGTTGACGTCAAGTCCGTTGGCTTTCGGAACGACGGCACCATGTGTATAACGTGACCTCAACTGATTTACGTGGCGTCTCCACACTTGTGTACCCACTTGAACATCATACATCACATTGCCTCGGCGCCGCATGACTCGTCCTGGTATCTATGCGATTCGCCGTCCTTGATTAGCAGCCAAAACACAAGATCGTCCGAGCTCCACCTCAAGTGAACCGAGGTCTCAATAGAGCTTGCTTGTAGCAACCCAACCACCAGCGGATTCTCCAAGTCCAAATTTATGCCTTAGGATTCATAGATTCCCTCATCAATCCGCCAGTTGTCTGAAAACAACATCATGAGCTGCTCACGTAAATGTGAAGTTGGGTGAGTGGTATAGGATTGTGATGACTTTTTACCGATCAGAAAACTTTTATTCGTAATGATGAAGCCACTATTCTGGATAACACTTTTCAGCGGCTGGATTTCCTCTCGTGGAACTTGTTCTACGCCTTCCCATTTTGGTTCCGTAATTCAGTCTCCGAGAGTTCTAGCTTCGGTTCTGCTCAATGTGGACCCCACATATATGCTCCGATTGAGCTTACCACAACAGCAACTTCGGGGGAAGACCGGAGATAAATCTGTGGCAGACACGCTGCGGCATTTGAAGAGATTCGAGAACTTGAACATGTTGGATATGGGTGGCCAAGTGAGACACGAATCGGAGTTGGACGCAGTCAAGGAGGTCCTCGTTCATCTGAGAGGGCTCAGAGAGATTGTTTTCGTCGACCTACCGTGAGTGTAACCTCTGTTGTTATCTATTATTCTCGTAAATCCACCGATTGCAACAATGCTAGATTACGTTCCGTACTGGCTTCGCATGGTTAAGCTGCTACCGTACTGTGTAAACGGCTGGTAGTGTGTTGTCATTCGTAGGGCTGGGTGCAGCAAAAACGGGATTTGGGAACTCTGTGACCGTAAAACATTTGTTCCCCTTCATTCACTTCGTCGAAGCAGAAGACTTAGATTGCGATATGTCAACATTTCGATTGTTCTCCTCAGTCGCAAACACAATACAAGCAGAAACACAGACACAAATATATACATGGGAGAAAATTGGCACACCAATGAAACTGTCAAAATCAAGACCAAGGCAATCTGATTGGTTGCCTCCAGAGTTTCTGTGCACATAACACAGGTTGCTAAGCGCTAATTAGCAACGTTTCACTGATTGCCAACATTATCGGTCTCCGGTTACGTAATAACACCTTGAACGCATCAGGGGGGTTCACGTGGTGACCAGTTGTCAAGACGTGTTCAGCAATAGATGATGACGGACTCCGATTTGTTCTGTGGCGCGTTCCGTTCTGTTGCGCTATCATTTGTTGGACCCACTTTGGCAAGTGCTCAGCCACCCTCTGAGCCAACCGACGGTTAGTCTTGCCTATGTAAACATCACCGCAACTGCAGGTGAATTGATAAACCATATGAGAGGGCGAACTAACCGATTGGTAGCTCTGACGAGCATGAAGAACCAGTTTCCGGGTAGTGTGCATGAGGCGCAACTGGGCAGTCGTGTATGTGCGATTTAGGGAGGACCAAAAATGTTTCCGATAACATTTGCCACATAGTCCCCTTTGAACGGCAGAACCAAATAGACAGCGTTTTCTCTGCCGTTTGCACTAGCAGTTTCTTACTGGGGAGTTTTCTGTACACTTGGATGAGCTTTCCGGGGTAACCATTCGATACTAAGGTCCTACACGGAAACTTTTCTTCAGTTTCCAGCAATTCCGGACTACAAATTCGTCTAGCCCTGTAGAAAAGTGTCTTCACTAGACCACGTTTGTAAGCAACCGGTAAACGGTGTGCTGCAATGTACCTCCATCCCGTCTCTTGATGAGAATATCCAAAAGTGGCAGGCCGCCATGTTGTTTTATCTCGTGGGACACCGATAGGTTGGATTGAATTGAACCCAAAGTGGTTAACAGTCACGCAGAATGTTCGCTTCTGCTGAATACCAAAATTCCGTCACCAACCAGCCTGATAGGTCGACCATCTATGCAGACGATGGGAATTCCGAGTTTTATTTTTCGTTGCAACCAAAGCGCCTATCTCCAAAGCTTCGGGGGAACACTATATCCAACAAGTGTCATACATGTTGAGGGAGAAGCCAGGCACAAGGCCATTTCTGGTTTTGATGCATCCAAGTACGGCTTGTTTTGCTTCGGTACTCCGGGGGAAAAAGAATTTTCCGAATCTGACTGCGATTAGGATATAGTGCGTTAGATGGGTGTTACACTTGCTTTCATTTGCCATCCCGTGGTGAACTTAGGGTAGGGAATACAGTCTGCGATCGGGGCTAATGGAATGACGAAAGATGCAGTGGATAACGGACGAAGCCTTGGCCAGTTGGTCCCTTGAGCAATAGCATTGCAATGCAAACAACACACAACAGATACGCAAAACAAAACGGCCAACGAGTACACGAATTCACTCCGATTGGTTGCGCGCTACCTACGAGCCAACCTTGCTCAAGTGCTGCTGCGTGAAGCCAACACGCTTCAAAGAGTAGCCAAACGAGGGTTAGGCAGCGACTAAACTTCTTGAACAGAGAACAATGTGACCCAACTCGGGTTTACTATACGGAAGTTACACGCTCGGAGGCTTTCGTGGTAGCACGTTTCCAATCTTCCAGGACCTAGCCAACATGTTATAGAGGAAAATTCATCGGATACTAGGGTAATGTCTTATACGAAAAGGTTACTCTCACCTATTCTTCCCCTGTTGGTTGAATTGCACACTCGAATGCACAGCGCGGGTTTCATGGCCAACGTTCTGCTCCCCGAATTTAGCACAGTCCCCAAGTCCAAACCGGAGGTGGGGACAGTTTTGTGGCCAACCGTTTGAGGAGTCCGTTCCCTCGGGTCCGCGACGCGTGGTGCGATGCTACTCCAGGGACTGTTATCCACTACCCTCAAGCGCGTCTGGGGAGCCACAAATCGCAATGCCCCATGGCCAACGGATGTCGAGGTCCAGTTGAAATGGAGAGGGAGCAGGTGGAGAGATAGGCACGTCTGGTTGCATATGCGGTGCATTAAATTGCACTGGTTAGTTAAATGTTACCCGAACACCGAAACGATTCGCAATGCCTCGCATACCGACTTATTGGTTTCCTTGACATGGTCTGGCGACGTTTGTCGGAAGTGATGACACAGTCGGAGATGAAGCAATGTTGTACACGAGCCAAAGCGCTAATTTTGTGCATCAGAACATCCTTGGTTCACAAAAGTTTGGACCCAAAAATGTAGGAGCATCTTAATGAGATATTCCGCTAGGGGTAAGAACTAGAATTAGTGACAAAGCTGCTAACCTTAAGGTAATATCCTTACGGCTACCCATTGTGGCCGCAAAAAATTAACAAATACTTCAAGCTTTCGCGAATCGATAGCTTACCGCCGTTTTTAGAGTCTTGTCGAAAGCCAGAAGGAGCAGTGCCGAAACGGTTCTTAAAATAGTTTTGCATTTCATTCAACTAGGGATATTGCGAATTCTGGATCAGACCGGGGTTACAATGTAACGGTTTAAAGTACGTCGAAATCCTGCATAACGCAGCAACAACTGTACGAATGCTGGTGGGCTACCGCTCTCGAGTAAAGGTGCCACGCACTTCGCTTTAAGCGCGATCTATCTCACCCAAGGAAAAAGCGCAAAAATATCGTAGTCAAGCAAGTCGGTCCAGAAAACCATCCTAAGGGACCTACATGTGTCAAGTGTTGCATTCAACTTACCATATCAAGCGGGTCGCAAGAGCCTTTGCTGGGGCAAGTTGGCCCAAAGAGAAGAAGGTAGGTAGGAGAGACTGAAAAAGAGACAAAACGGAGGGTGAAAACACCGCAGACAAAGAGCCAGCAGACGTGTGTGCCCAGTGAAGTTGGATCCAGTCCAGAAAGCACGGATCAAGTGGAAGAATGGTTACAATGATTTACCAAAAATGTAAATCAAAAACGCCGAGAGATAATGGAGGAAATCCCCAGACAGCTATTTCGTCTTGTGGGGAATCGTCAGAAGTGTGCGATCTCCGGCTTCATCAGCAACCGAAACCATGACATCTGAACACCATCTAATGGCTATTATCTAGGATGATGACAGTAGACCGCCTTGGCTCATAAGCAAACTGAGATAGAGCGTGGTCCATCCTGAACTGTCATGCAATTTGCGAAAGTTGCAGAGTGTAAGGTTGGCCATTAGAGCTACCCAAATCAGCAGCTATGTATGACATAGCATCTAGCAACCGAATATTTTGACAACATGTGAGTGGGAGATTTTGATGGAACAGCTACTAAATGTTATGTCGTATACGGCTGCTGGTACGAGAAGCCGTGTGTGGAGTGTTTCCAGAGATATCCTTCACAACCACACAGCACATCCGGAACAGGATTAGACAGCCACTTCGGGACTCGTCAACAATGTGCAGTCCACCTAAAAGGGCTCAGAAATACGCCGGTACGCAGTACCGACGCTTGGCTGCCACGCAACCATCACCAGTCGTAGTGGGCTAAGGGTACTGCGAGGGTCGCCCGGTTTCTACGCAGGCTCGAACCCACGCCCTCTTATTCTTAGACAAGGTTGCGAGTCGCAACGCACCCACACAGCGTGCCCCCTAAATTCAGTGTTGAAGTACTTTCCGCTGTGCCAAGCGTTGCTCGCGGATCTCAGTAGCATAGTGTTCGGGGAGTTAGCCATGAAGTACTAAGCTCTGAGTTGCACCCTAGCTCAGGTTATCTCCTCCTGATGAGTCTAAACTACTATTACTACTACTACTACTACTACTACTACTACTACTACTACTACTACGACTACTACTACTACTGTATGGGGGCCGCTTCCAAGAATGCCTCGGGGGAGCTCTTCGGAGCTAGCTGAGAGCGGATCGAGAAGGACGGCTAGCGACGAGCCTGGGCCCGGAACTACGGAGCGGGAATATGTGGACAGCGCAATAAATCAGACATATACACCGCTAGCGCAGCCCACACGATGGCCAAGCATTCTTTTTCCGTTGCTGAATACTTCTGTTCCGCCCCCGTCAGCACTCTGCTAGCCTACTCCACCACCCCAGCCGGTTGAGACAAAACCGCACCGATTGCCACGTTGCTTGCGTGGACAGCCACAGTGAACCTCTCACCAGGATTGGGTAGCCTTAGACATGTCGGGGCTTCTGCTATGCATGTCTTTAGATGGTCATAGGCTTGACCGCTTCAGCTGTCCACAGGAACGGCACGTCTTTGCGAAGCAGCTTTAACAACGGGCTGACCTTCTCTGCGAACTGGGGCACAAACTTTGAATCATATGCCACCACTCACAAGAACGAACGGAGCTGACGCTTGGATTTTGGTTTTGCGAAACACTTGATCGTCTCGCGTTTCTCCGGAAGTGGATGGACTGGGATGGTGGAGTACGCGAGCAGAGTGCTGACGGAGGCGGAACAGAAGTAGTCAACAACGGAGAAAGAATGCTTGGCCATCGTGTGGGCTGCGCTAGCGGCGTATATGTCTGATTTATTGGGCTGTCCACATATTCCCGCTCCGTAGTTCCGGGCCCAGACTCGTCGCTAGCCGTCCTTCTCGATCCGCTCTCAGCTACCTCCGAAGAGCTCCCCCGAGGCATTCTTGGAAGCGGCCCCTGTACACTACTACCACTACTACTACTACTACTACTACTACTACTACTGCTACTACTACTACTACTACTACCCTTTGTGACAACTATTTACTTTAAACTACCGAAGTTAATGTATTATTGTTCCAGTACTGCATTTTACTTGCCATCTCTAGCCATCTTAAGTCATGAATTTCGACCGGTCAAACACCTTAGAAAACAATCCCAGCCCGATTCGATGCTTTCCCCATACAATCAGCGTTACGGAAATGTTCGGGTCTGAAAAGAGGTCACCGAAAATGTCCTTCGCCTTGAACTGATTTCTGAGCCTGATACTAGGAACCTATTCCAAGTGCTGCCTACACCAAAATTCAGTCGTTTAATCCGTTGTCATCCATTTTCCGGGGTATACTAACTACATTTGTTGCGTCATTTTGGAAAATCGATTCATCTCTGCACACAAGCGTTGGTGACGTGTGTGTGTGGTGTGTGAGAGCGCACTGGCCAACCTCCTCTGATCTGACGTCCGGTAGTGACTGCTACATCTTGCTCACACCAGGCGTTCGCATCCAAGATCCGGATCACCAGCAAGGGTGACCTGGTCCTCTCGAACCAGAAACATACTACTAGTTTTACGACCGGTGAGTTCACAACCGGAACCCAGTATGCTGTGCTCCAAGCATAATTTCTGCAAACCAAACACCACCTCCTGATCTCTGAAGACGTATGACTTGTTTAGATTACAGACTGGTTCGGCTCACTTCACATCCAGTGAGCATCATGTTCACAAATACCAGCCCTGATTTTGAAGCACAGGACCCGTTGGTCGCAAAATCGCACAGCAAAAAGGAGAACGCACTTTACTGCGACGGAATGAACTACTCATGAGTAATGCAATATA